CTTCTTTACCACTCAGTGATTGTCGTTTTCAGTATAATATGAATGTCGGACTTCACTTCAGATGAACCAAAAGTTAATGAAAATATGTTGGTGATTTGATGAAAACTCAAGAACGGTTTTGGTATATATTTTCTTCATTATTTCATAGAGGGAATGTAAGTCATTTATTTTTTACACCCACTAGTGAGCATAACATTTCCTTGCCATTTTTGTTCGGAAATGGCCTTGACCATACTCTTGAAGTAATTATACCGTTTGATATCTTTCACCTCGTGAGAACTGTGCAAGCTGATGTTCACTTTTTATTATCGTTGCAGAGGTCAATACACTTCAATATTCCCATAATTTGAATAGAATGATTCTCTGTTTATATATTTTATTTACAGGCTTATGCATTAAAATTGGAAAAAAAAAGTAGAAATAATAGCAATTTTGCTATACAGTGAGTTTAAAAATGTTTCCACCATATGCAAAACTTTTTTATTATCCGTTTGTCACAAAATTTTATTCTCGATAAAAATTGGTGCATTGCGGAAAACTTGTGGTTAACAAAATTCTACAGGGTATCAAAAAAAAGAAATTTTGATCGAAAGTAAACTACCCTTAAAAGTTTCGAAATTACTTTATGTTTACAATGTTCCTACTTTTATATAATAAACGTTTTTTACTCAAGATTTTTTCTATATCAAAAAGTTCCCCCTAATGGAACCCACTTCATTTGAAGATAATATACTACAAACAACGCTAGTCCTAAACGACCATTGGATTCGTTAAGAAATTTCAGGATCCACAATTTTAAAAATATCTTGCGTTTTCATCATTCGTATTAGAGAGACTACCACAAACAACAAACATACTAAGAACACGTCAAATATGATAAAAATGTTACCTGCTTTTTCAGGGTTCCAACCCCCAATAGGAGGCGCTGGTAAAGGCGTTGGTCCTCCTGGAGGCGGTGGAGGTCCTGCCATCCCTTGCATCGGTGGAGGAGGAGGTCCAGTCATTCCAGCTATTGGGTGTGGAGGTGTACAACCTGATCCGGGCATTGGTGGTGGGGGAGGTCCAGCCATGCCAGACATTGGTGGAGGTGGAGGTCCTGCCATGCCAGGCATTGGTGGAGGTGGAGGCCCTGTCATGCCAGGCATTGGTGGAGGTGGAGGTCCTGCCGTGCCTGGCATTTGTGGAGGTGGAGATCCTGCCGTGCCTGGCATTGGTGGTGGTGGTGGTCCTTCCATGCCAGGTATTGGCGGAGGTGGTGGTCCTGTCATTTCAGGCATTGGGGGAGGAGGAGGTGCAACCATAACCGGTATAGGAGGAGCTGGTAGACTAATAATACTTAGCATTGGAGGAAGAGGAGGAGGGGGAGGTGGGTAATCTATAGAAGGTATTGTTGGTGGTGAGGATGATCTCGCAGTTTCTGAAATTGATGGGAGTGGTGGAGGTGGTGGAGGTTGGGAAAAGGACGTCTTTAGTTCAACGGGGGTGCAAGTATTTTCTGTTCCTACACATATAGTTCTGTCGGAAATAGGTAGAGTTATTGTTTGCGAGAGTTCTGATTTCAGTTCTAATGTTTGAGTTCCTTGTGCTGTCGTATTCTCCGTTTGCGTTGAGACTTCAACCTTGCAATTAATTTCATCTGTTTGTGCTTCCGAGTGTGCAATTGACTTCTTAGTTATTTTGTTTTCAACCCCCATACCAGTCGAATGATCACACGTGACGAATGGTTTTGTCTCTTCGACCGGTGATTTAAAATCTATCACAGCGTTTGTGGTTAGGGCCTGTATTTCGCTGAGAGTTTTATACTTTTCGACTTCCTGTATCAGCCTTTCGATCTCTTGTTCCAAAGATAATATTTCAACATCTCTAGCAGAGTTTCTGAGTTCTTGTCTGGGTTTCAGTTTCTCCTCAATTTCTGAAGACACAACGGGGATAAGTTCATTACCACATGGGGGTATGAAAGCTTCCGAAGGAGTAGGAGGCCATGACATCACATTCAACCGACCGGGAGTTTGAGGTAAAGATAAAGGTGTTTCTGCATGACTCCAATAATACATACAGTCGGGCTGGAATATAAAGAATTGTGATGGAAGTAGTTCGATACTTGATAAAAATCCATGATAACTTATTCATTTTTGAAATTTTCATTATACATTTCACAAAACCTCAATGAATATTTCACTATTCAATAGCTTCTTCAGTATTGTAATAAAACACATGTTACGGTTCTGTAAAATGTTTAATAAAAATATTACAATGAAGTGTTAATTAAATAGGTATAAAGAATTGTTTCCGACTTTGTCGAGTACTACCTCCAAAATATATTCAAAGTAACGATCTTTATAGAAAACGGAGATAGGTGAAAGGAAGTAGCCTATGTAATATATTTTTTATATTCCCAATATTCAATACTTGTTAACTTTAGAGTTTGAAATAGACTAATATTAATTTCATTGAGTTAAATTATCTGAAGGAACAATTCGTTCAGGTCAGTATCAACTCCCCTACTATGTAGGTTAATGGATTGACGAATATTACTGGAGTTTTTTCCCAACACCAAATCGTTATTTTTTTTCATCTCGACACGTGTTTCGATCACCAAGTGATCATCTTCAAGAGGAAGATAAAACTAGAAACTTCTCAAAACTAAAGCTATTTATGCTATTCAGGTACATCATACAGGTAGGTAATCAGTAATACCACCCATAAAAGTGTACCACTCTAAATTAATTTTACAATTGGCCTTTCTATTATTTTACAATATGTCCTTATGTATGTTAGAATGTTACATGGTGTAGTAATATTCATTACTACACCAAAGGTTCCAAACAGTACATCATAAGTAATGGATTGACACCTATAAAAAAAACTACTGCCCTGGCTAATACCACGAAGGGCGTTAGATTATATCTGACATGTGTCAGTTCAGGATTCTTCACAGACGCAATTCCTGAATATGCTGTTGGCGATACAACTGCCGGACTCGATTTTCAATTATGGAACACTTCCAGACCGGTTTCGGGCTCGTCCGAAGTTGGAGCGAACAACAATGAAATACTCTGAAAGAATTTCGATTTTCAATTATGGAATATCATTGACTTTAGGTCGATGATGATTACTATCTTGCACTGACGAGTGGCTAAGGGGCCCGAAACCGGTATGCAAGTTTGCCCGTTCCAAAATTGTAGGTCGACTCTCTCACTTGTATTGCCAATTGCATCATATGCAGGAAATTTTCTGTGAAGATTCCTGTACTGACGCCTGTCGGATATAATCCAACGCCGTTCCAGGTATTAGCCAGTGGAGTAGTTGTTTTCTGATAGGCGTTAGTCCATTCAACCTACTGTGTATTAGGTATATCCGAGACTGGCTTGAACATTTAAAGTTCATTTCTTTAGATGTGTGTACTGCCTGTCGTCAAACATAGCCCACTGACTAGAAAACTTAGATAACTTTCTCACCGATAGAACCTCCACCAATCAGGACCAGGCAGAAGCGGGCTTCCTCAACTTCATCGAATCACACACATATTACATCCCCTCGGAATCAGCCGACTTTTGTTACATTAGCAAAAGTACACTGATTCAAATAGCGCTCATTTCGAGTAAATTGAATGAGTATTCACTGAGATAATACAGATCGAGGTAGACCAATAAAAACTGACAAAACTTTTGAAACAACTTAATGAATTAAGCTTTCGTTATTTTTTCAAATGTGAAACTTCTAGAATATCGCAACACTTTATTATGCTTTGGTTATCTTCCTGTAACTAGAAATCGCATATCAAAAAGTAAG